TGATTATATTATACACAAAAGCATACTTGTATAAGATAAATCTCCATAGAAAACTATTTTCTAAAAATCATTATGTGAGAGCCATTGCTGTCTCCATCATTTGAATAATGATGATTTATACGTTGTATTTACAGTTACACTTAATCTCGGGTAAGGTCAATTATCATTTAGTTCAGCAATGACTTATTTGTTCTATGTTAACAGAACGTTTCCCAATCATTGCTTCCGCTGGCGATATCTGCAAAATTCAAAAAACGTTAATGAGACTTGTTGAAGAATCAAGGTCATTTCAACTATATAAATGTAGTTTCGTTCAGTAGAGGACGATTACACCAGTTACAGCAGTCATATCTCCATTTTAAAATACTTTGCAGCTAACCCTATTTAAGCTATTTTGGTTCTTATTTTAAATTCTGTGTTATTTTTACGATTATCTAGGTGTAGGCACGTATCTTTTTCATTACGGCTTATAATTGATTCCAAGTACAATGGAGTACAGTACGCAATAGAAATGATAAAGATCGAGTAGTTTGCTGTTATCGACAGTATTTGACACAATCGGAGAATACAATCATATTACAATAAATAGTTACCACATTATTTAGGGGCTGCAAGTACTATACTTCAAAACAAAACAAATGTTATTTTCAGTGATTAATTAATTATAAAAAATTCTTCACCTTTCTAAATTTTGCCCATTTCATTTGTTTCCTCGTGGTATTCATCAGTTACTCTCATAACTGCTACCCACCAAAGATTACCACTAAGAGTAAATGTGCGACCAGTGGCTTTCTCGTATCGGAAGATATGAGGTGTATACGGTTTTGACCAGGTATTTGTAAAACGGTCGTACTTCATGACGTCGCCCCATATTGGACGCATAACTTTAAATCTCACCTCGATATTTGTTGCACTTGAAGAAATATTCACCCCTTTCCCATCACCACTTACTTCTTCTGTGACTTTTCTTTCGTTTAAATAATAGGTTACAATCATCTTTGAGATCCATGAACCTTTGGAGTAATATTTAATGGTTTTTCTGGTCAACTGCTCTTGGCTTATATCGTCGAGAATTGAATGTTGTTGGGTCTTTGACGCAAAATATTCGTTATTTGAGCCGGTTGAAATTCTTTGAGGGCAATATATTTCGTCAGTTGATAAAAAACCCATTTCTTTTTTCTCCATACTCATTACTGACTCCCATGACTGCCTCCCAACAAAGATTACCACTAAGAGTAAATGTGTGATTTTTTGCTTTTTGGTATCGGAAGATGTGAGGTGTATATGGTTTTAACCAGGTCTTGTTAAAACGGTCGTACGTCATGACATCACCCCAAAATGGACGCATAACTTTAAATCTCACTTCGACATTTGTTGCGCTTGCAGAAATATTCACTCTCTCTCCATTACCACTTACTTCTTCTGAACTTTTCTTTCGTTTAAATAATAAGTTACGATCATCTTTGAGATCCATGATCCTTCGGAGTAATATCGAATAGTTTTTTTGGTCAATTGTTCTTGGCTTGTTTCATCAGCAATTGAGCGTCTCTGTGTTTTTGACGCAAAACGTTCATTATTTGTGCAGGTTGAATTACTTTGATTGAAATCGATTTCTACTGTTGATGAAAAGTTTCTCTCTGTTTGAGAGTCATGTGTCAGGGGTTTTGTAGATGCTCCATACTTCACGGGCAATTCATTTTCTCGATTTATGTGACAACCGATTATTTTTCTGCCATTTTCGTATACAGTATTTCGTTGACAAGTTAATGATTCACTTATAGTTATCCCTTCGATATCGTTGCAATTCTCGGGTCCAAGAAGCTTTCCTTCATTTTTATTGTCTATATGCGCAAAAATTTCAAACTTGTATGATTCCTTATGACGATAGCAATGATTCTCTGTTGGTTGGAGTGTTTTTGAAGAAGTCGGAAACTTGCAAAAAGGAGACCAACTTTTGTAATAGTTTACAGTGATTTTAACATTGGAATGGTTTTCAACGACTAAGCATTTATATTGATCATCCGCCATTGAGTTTTGTTTTTTGAACTCTTAATTTATCCAAAATTTCTTTATGAGACACTGTCGTCTTAATGTTCAAAGTTCTGCTTAATATGTCATCACATTAGTTCCTAAGAGAAAAAATCATTGTAAACTGAAGTATTAACAATTTTTAATTGCAGACTTGGAGATTGCAGATTACGCATATAAATTAATGAAAAAGAATGGAAATCTGTATTGATAATGATAAACCATCAAAATCATCGAAATCTGTATTGATAATCTTTTTCACACGGACATGGCAGCACCATACATGTCCGAGGAGGCTTTTAATGAATTAATAATAGCAGCTACTAAAGGAGTTAAATTTAGTTTTAGTGATATCATGTACAAACAAATTGATGGGGTGGCTATGGGTTCTCCTCTTGGACCAGTATTTGCTAATATTTTCGTAAGCTATTATGAGTGTAAGATGTTTGCCTCTTCTGGGCCTCCAGATGTGCTGTGGTACAAACGTTACGTTGACGACACCTTTTCCCTTTTTCGTAACGACAAAAATCGCCAATTATTTTTACATAAACTCTGTTCTTTTCACCCTTCTTTAAATTAAACGTCTGAACATGAATCAAATTGTCGTTAGCGTTTATGGATGTTCTTGTGCATATACGCAACGGTCAATTCCTTACAAGCATTCATCGCAAGCAACTCTTTTACTTCACATAGAGAAAAGATTTCTTTAGTAAAGTGTTTAATAAAGCGAAAGCTTAGACTGTCATCAAAGGAGTTCATTGAGGGTGATCTCAACTATTGAAAAAGATATTTCTCTCAAATGGATATCCGGAAAAATGATTGATAAACCTTTTTCATCCACAAAAAATGAGCAGAACAGGCTTTTTGGACCAGACAAGTGCCCTGTGTTTATCAAACTTTTATGGATGTGATGATATTGAAAGAGAAAATATGAATATTACGGAGAATTTGTTTTTTGCGAGCCATGCTATCTTTTTATTTTCGAAAAGAACTATTCTACCACCTACCACAAAGAATCTCTACCGGCACCACTTTTAAGCAATGCAGTTTATAAATATAAATGTGAGTGTGATGCTCGCTATGTAAGTAGAACGTCTCTAAGGTTGGGTGATAGGATCGAACAGCATGTAACAACTTCAATCAGAAATGAAACGGTCCACTTAAGACAACAACCAAAACGTGATTGTAAGAAAAGTAATTTAGTTTCATGTGACTCCGCGATAGGTAAACATCTCTTGAATAACTCCGATTTCGCTGATTCTTATTCAGACGACAATTTTAGAATCATTAAGAAATGCCGTTCATTCTTTCAGTTACGTGTCATGAAGGCCGTTTTAATTAAGTTAACCAATCCCGTCCTCTGCCGACAAAAGGTTTAGGTCCTTAATTTATCCCTGTTTTGAGCGTCATTTCCCCTTATGGACGTTTGCAAACAAGGATTTTAAAATATTTAAGGCATTTCGCGACCTTTAACTTACCTCAAATATCTGTCATGGATAAGTAAAGTTATTTAAATCAATTTGACGTCAAAATTATTTCGATACCTGTAAAATATCGACGTTCGTGTTCATTTGAAAATCGTTAGTGCAAGAATGGAATTTGCCTCATAGTTATCAAGGCAAGATAATAGACCTTTTCAAGGTTATCGTAGCCATATTGCAGGGGGTGCAAAAACATTGGGCCGAGCGCGCGGTGACGCATGGTGTCTATATAAATTATTAATAAATGCGCAAAAATTACCCTTATACATATTGGTCATTTCATTTCAAACATATTCCTCAAACTCATCCATTTTAATAGTTGAATTATTATTTGCGATTTTTTACACATGTGAGTCCAATTTTGTGGTAATCAACAAGCGGAAAGTTAAAGAAAACATTTGTTTTCTTTGAACAACTTGACCGTCGTTTGAGCGATGTTCTTCAGTTCGCAACACACGAACATGTCTACAGCAAAGTTAGCAAGTATCGCGAGGAACTATTCTACGACAAACTCTTATTAGTAATTCCAAGAGACATTGCTATTTTTATTATTATGTAAGGCGACTAAACAGCCAGAAGAAGAAACAGCCAAGTATTCAAATACACACTTAAAACTGTTAGTCGATGGCAGGCCGGTGTGAAACCTACATCATACTCTGTCGTCAACTGTTCAAATTCCAAAGGGACAGGGAGTAAAGATGCTTCAGATTTTGCTGAAATTCCATCAAAACTTGAATCAGAATCCTCGGTGTCATAGGCTTGATGAGGACGCTTTGATGTCGTCCATGTTCTCTTCCTTTACGTTTAAGCGGAGTCCTCCATTGCTCGTACTCTGACAGCGTAATAAAAACCGAAAGATAATCCGTTCCGCGGTTATTTGGGGTTCTTCTTCCCAAGGGGAAATTGATTTGAGCAAACGAAACTACCTTGTGCACCAGGCTTTGGGTTAAAGTCATCGGCTCTGCTGTTTGCTATTTGTTTTCGCAAAATTTCAGCAAGTGCTTGATCTTTGGGCCACTAATGAAAAACTGAATTTTCTACGTGAGACCTCTTAACTTGATAATCAGGATAGCGTTTATCATTATCGCAATATCCAACTGCACAACGCACATTTTTTACCATTTCGGCTATGACTGCTCACAGCTACTCGGCTAGTTTAGGGTTTAGTTCGTTTGACTTGGCTTATGAGTTCCGCACATTTGCGAACTCAAGAACATCGCTCAAACGACGGTCAAGTTGTTCAAAGAAAACAAATGTTTTCTTTAACTTTCCGCTTGTCGATTGCTACAAAATTGGACTCACGTGTATAAAAAATCGCAAATAATAATTCAACTATTAAAATGGACGAGTTTGAGCAATATTTTTGTAAGAAATGGCCAATATGTAAAAGGTAATTTTTGCGCATTTATTAGGACGCCATGCGTGACCGCGCGCTCGGCCCAATGTTTTTGCACCCCTTGCAATATGGCTACGATAATCTTGAAAAGGTCTATTCACAGCTCGCTTTCCAAGTTTAGAGGCAGTTATGATTTAGAATATGTTTCAATGCTTAAAAATTGTGGTAAGTACCTTTATTTTATCATGACGGTAATAAAATTTAAACGTGCTAATAAAAACAATAAAAATCATAACGCCGTGTCTTTGCTTTTACATAACAATAAAATTTTAATCTTTTGAATTAAGTTGCACAAAATAATTTGCCACGTATCAACTCAAAGGACGCAACCATTTGACGCTTATCTTTTCAGAACGTTAAGTGATTTGAAAGATCGAATGTTCAAAGTTTTGAGCCATCAACTAGTAAAAGGTTTTTAAGACTAAAGACAAAGAATTATCGTGTGTGTTAACGATCTGTAAATGAGATCTTAAATAAAAATTGCTCGTCATATTTAATTTATAAACTTTTAATAAATATTGGTCACACCCAAGTACTATAAAATATACATCATAGATACATGTAGCACTTTGCAATCCTGTAATTGTACACAAATCAAACCAAGTTACAAATACAAACATATTAACTGCTTACCAAAAAAATCACTGCCATTCATCTAAAATAAGGCGTGTTTATCGTGATGTGTTTAATTGTAATTTAATTTATGTTTATAAAAAGTAGTTTTCGCCTTTTATCAACGATATTATTTTGGAAATGTAGCTTTTTTAAATGTTTATCAATAAACCATTTATACTAAAGATTTCAACAAGCACAATTTAGACGTTCATGACATATAATTGTGCAATGATATTGTGTTATTCAACAGGCAAAAGTACCAATAGTATAAAAATAAAACTGACATATCAAGCTGTAGTTTTTTTACCAATCGCTCCCAAAGTACCTTAAAAATGGTATAATGTAACATAATTTACACTTCTCATTTCTATTGATGATTTTGACACAAATTAATTTCGAATTTATTAAGAAAAACAATAAAAATCATAAGGCCGTATCCTTGCTTTTACATAACAATTAACTTTAAATGTTTTAAATTCAGTTGCACAAACGAATTTGCCACGTATCAACTCAACGGACGAAGCCATTTGATGCTTAACTTATCAGAACGCTAAGAAATCTGAAAGATCGAATGTTCAAAGCTTCAACCATCGACCAGTAAAAGGTTTGTAAGACAAATGACAAAGACGTATCGTGTGTGTAATGGTATAAGTGAGATCTTAAATAAAAGTTGTTCGTCAAATATAATTAATACACTTTTAATAAATATTAGTCTCAACCTAGTACTATAAAATATACATCATAGATACCCGTAGCAACTTGTGATCCTCTAGTTGTACACCAATTAAACAAAGTTACGAATACAAACAATTTGCTTACCGAAAAATCACTGTCATCTAAACGAAGGCGTGTTTATCGTGATGTGTTGCTTGCTAAGGAATTCAAATTGCTGCTAGCATGCAATTATATTTATCTTTGGGTCCGGACAGTATATTTATAAAATATGTTTTATTTCATTATACTTGTGATAGTATAAAATGACATTTATGAATCCGGAAGATAATTTAGTTTGAAATTGCAAATGAATCATGCATGTGATCATTGAATAGTTTAGATATTTAAATCGTATTTGAAGTATAAATATTGATCAGGAAGTGTGTTATTTTTGTGATAAACTAATTTGTAAGTCCACATATTAAATGCGGTTAAAAATTTGCTAATCTTTTTAACGTTACAATTGTCTTTCGTCAAGCTTTGGTTGCGAAGGTTCATGTATGCAAATTCATCGCATTATAGTTACAATAAATTTAAAAACAGATATGAGTATTGCAACTTATTAGTTCTTTTTAACACTTCTATTTTATGTTCATAATTGCAAAATATCTTAAAAACGGTATAATTTAGTAAAATTTAGACTTATTTCTATTGATCAATTTGTTCCAAATTATATTCAAACTTATGAAAAAAAACAATAAAAATCATAAAACCATATCTTTGCTTTACATAACAATCTATTCTTAAGATGTTTTAAATTCCGTGGCATAAAATAAATTTCCACATATCGACTCGAAGGAAGAATATATGATGCTTAAGTTGTCAGAACTTTAAATCTTTCTAAAAGTTCAACTGCTCAAGGCTACACGCCGTTAACCAGTAAAAGGTTTTTAAGTCAAAAAACAAATAATTTTCATGCTTGACTGTGACGTATAAATGTGACCTATGGAAGTTTGTAAATTCTGTAATTGTAGATAAATCAAAGGAATTTACAATTCCAAACAAGAACAATATGCTTACCAAAAACAAATTACTGCCATCTTAAACAAGGTAAGGCATTTTTAAAGTATATATAATTATTTATGACTCGCTACGAAGTACATTTACTTTAAAATCGCAAATTGAGTCATGCATGTCATCATTAAATAGTTTAGAAATTTAAGTTGTTTTAGAAGTAGATATATTGATCAGCAAGTGTGTTTATCTTTGTCGTAAACTATAGTATCGCTTGTTCAAATTTTTAAGTCAACATTTTTTATGGAGCTAAAGAATTTTGCTTATCTTTGTGACGTTGCAATTGTCTTTCGTCGATGCTAAGTTGTTGACGCTAAGGTTGATATGTGCAAATTCATCGCATTAAATAATACAATACTGAAGATCTCTGATTTCCTATCAACTTGATAACCTTGTAAGTACAGCTAGGAAATCAAACATTTCTGCACATCTGTGTAAAAGGAGGCATACATATGTGACGTCATTCGTGTCACGTGTCCAAAGATATGAATATTACAACTTATTAATTCTTTTAACACTCCCACTTAATAGTCATATTAACATAACTAACAAATCTTCATGATACAAACTTAAAACTTATCATTGCTCTTTGACTTTAAATACTCCCAATAGCTTTGTAAAGTTTTGATATTAATCTTTTCAGAGTCTTTTGGTAATGATATCACCAAACATGTCTTCCGTTTGGCAACACGTGAAAGAAATTATGTTACTTTGACGTGTTGTCACCAATGATCTAGTACCCATTCTACTAGATACCTGACTCAGCCAAATTTGTATAGTAATGAGTGAGGCAAATTTCTACGCGGCCGCCATTTGCAAAGGTGGCAAAAGCACAATGGCGGCATATAAAAACATTAAGTCTGTGCTGAGAGAAATCGACTTTGAGAGCGTTTTTATGATGCTGTTCTACTGAAGTTGCATTAAAAATGGTGAGTAATTTCTTTAATATTGTTAAAATGTGTAAAATTTTTAAATACTTGAGATAGAGCGGTCTTAACGTGTATTTTGCGACCATAAACTAAAGGCTGAGAGTTACATAAGTATGAACTACTAATCGTGAGTATTTATTAATTTACATCTTCTTTGCTGTTCTCTACGCTTTTTATCGTAAACCAAAAACATATTTACAGAAAAAAAGCGACAAAATCGCATAACAGCTATCCAGAACTTTGATTTGAACACAACGTTTACGGTTTATATGAATTATTTTACCTGAACAACATAATTTTAGATCTATTAACAATATGACTGCATCGTTGTAAAAATGCGCTTATTTTCACTATTTACAATAAACTACTATAAATTATTTTTTAGGATTTACATTTCCTTGGTTGTGGTGTGGATGTTCATCGAAGTCGACTAGATTCCTTGAAATAAAACAAGCTTCGTAGATTGCTGGCGAACACCAATTTTGTTTTTGTGGAGGATATCTTTATTATATCGCTTACTATAGGTCGAAAGTCGTAAATTGATGTATTTTTCAATGATCTGTTTGATAAGCTGTGATGAATGTAGATCTTCAGTTATTGCTTCGTGATCAACATCATGCTCGTTGAGTTCAGGAAACAAGCTCTTTTCTGCAAGCTCTTGGTTAATAAGATGAACCATTATAGTCTTCAAGTTTCTCCTGCTGGAAATTTTTTGTTTTTTTGAACGAGTTTCATGAATGAGGACTTAAATAGCTCTTTCAGATGCAAATATTATTTTGGTCACACCATTAGAAGGGAGAACAAGACCACCACGATTCTTCAAACTGATTAAAGATAAAGATGTAGTAGTTTGGAAGTGTGAATAATTATGATCATGAACTGATGATGATTTTTTTGACTTAAGAAAAAGAGCTCTTGCACATTCAGTACAGGTGATTCTATTGATTATCTTTTTTACAACAAACCCAGCAATATATCCAAGTATTGCTTCTTTGTATGATGACAGTGAACATGATTCTAATCCAGAAACTAAACTACTGACATGTTGTGTGTCCTTTGGTTTCATCTCTTCTACTTCAAAGGCTGGAGCATTTCTTTTATTCCATTTTAATGAAAAAATAGAACCAGCAGATTCATTTTCGAAAGTCAAACAGTTTGCATGCTTGGAACCAATGATGGAATTTCTTAAAAGAATTTTTCGTAGACTGGACTTAAATTGTACAATATCTCGATTATTGATGAAGCCATTCTTACCACGTATGCATGCAAACAGCAGCTCAAGGTGGTCTTGGGACATTTTGTACGTCAGAATGTATTTGAAAGGATCATGTTCCCTTGTAAGGAACATGACTTTCCTCGAGCAAATCTATTTTAGCTTTTTTAGCGCTTGGTGATGATGTTTCTGTCTCTCTTCTAGCAGGAGGCTTTCTTTTTGACTTTTTAGATAGTAGTCTCTCCGGAAAAGCGAACACTGAAGGTATCGCGTCTAACTTTAACTTGCGTTTATAGGCATTTTCAGTGTTATAATCATCGTGCAAAAAATGATCGCTGCAAAGCTGTTTGCGTTTGGGGTAAAGTTTTTCGTTTCATAGCAATGACCCATCTTTACAGAGGTCCTTATTTTCAATGGGAAATTTGTGGCTATGTTACTCTCTTTCAAAAAGCGATTTGTACATCCATACGCGGCGCACGATTGACCATGAAAATCGAAAATTACGCTTTGCAGCTAAAATGTGCTTCTTGAACGTTGTTTTAGAGTTGAGGATGTTATACCTGTGTTTGTTTTAAGATTGATTGCTTTCAACGTTTTCAACCATATATTTGAGTCAGTTTGACATGTAAACTATACTACCGTATATTGCGTGTTATGTTTTTTGCCACCTTTCAAGATGGCGCCCGCGAATAAAATTTGCCTCACCGTGACAACGGCAGTTAGATATCTAGAGGATTGGGTATAAGTCATTGGTTGTCACATGTAGTGATACGACACATCTACAGTGGGTGACTAAAAAAAAAGATCGTGACTAAAACACCACACGAGTACATACAATTACATCGAGTAACATACGAGTACATACGAGTGACATACGACTATTTTCTGGTCAACAAATGAGAAACAACACAATTTCTTCACTACATTGATATTTGCGTTTATTTTTCCTTGTATTTGTGTGGACTTTGGGGCAACCATTTGATGGATTTAAATGCTGAAATGCGATTAAATAAACAACGTATAAATAATGCTTTCAAAACGTGCTATATGAAATAAATGTACATTATATATATTTGAATTAAATGAAAGTTGCACTGTGTTACGAATATATATCATATTATGCGTACAATATCAGCTTACTTTTAATGTTTTCAAAGTTCTAGCTGATATAATTCAGTCTTTTAACTGCAAAATCAGTATCTTAAAGACCAAAATGAATGTATAATCGCTTTCATAAATATGTATTTCCTAGGTGAAAGTGTTTCAAAAAGCGCTCAAATACTGGCAAATCGCATCGACAAAATATCTATAACAAATTCAACTAAAACATACAAATGAATGTAGTATGAAAGTAAAATACCTTTTCAGCATTTAAATCCATCAAAAGGTTGCCCCAAAGTCCACACAAATACAAGGAAAAATAAACGCAAATATCAATGTATTGAAGAAATTGTGTTGTTTCTCATTTGTTGACCAAACTAAGAATAAACTAAGCTTAGTAAATTTGTTTGTTCCTACACCAATATACCCGGACTCATAAAGTCACGGAAAACGAAACATATGACAATCTCTAGATTATAAAGAATGATAAAATGAAGGTACTTACCACAGTTTTTGCGCATTGAAACATATTCTGTATCATAACTGCCTCTAAACTTGGAAAGCGAGCTGCGCATTATCTTGTCTTGGCAACTATGAGGCAAATTCGATTCTTGCACGAGCGATTTTCAAATGAAAACGAACGCCGATATTTTAAAAGTATGGAAATAATTTTGATGTCACATTGATTTAAATAACTTTATTTATCCATGACAGATATTTGAGATAAGTGAAACGTCGCGAAATGTCTTAAATATTCGAAAATCCTTGTTTGTAAACGTAATCTGCCATACATTTCTACAGCAATTTGTATCTCAAGTGGTTAACCGGAAGTGCATTTTGCTTATATAATTAGGCTTAACATTTATAAAGAAAAGCTCAAAATAATTCGCGATTTCGCTGCCAAGCAAGAAACCCGATGTAGTGTTCATCGCAGAAACATAGCTTACATGATACTTGTAATCTTGAGATATCTGAGTATAACATTGTTTATAAAAACAGAGCTTTTGGACCACATGGAGGTGGTGTATATGTCTATATATTAAAAAAAATTATTCAGTTTACAGTCCTTGACTAATTTAGTTCGACCACGTTTGAGGTTTTTTGGGGTTAAAATTATGCCAATCAACTAGTTATAAACTAATTAGTTAATTCAATTACAGCAATGGACATTTTTATATTCTTGGTGTGAAGTCGTTTTGAATTGTGCTTTTAATAGACTTAACTTTTGCCATCTTACGGATCAATTCTGATTACCAGAAACAGCTTGAAATATTCCTAAATGATACAACCAAACATCGGACATGATCGTAACAAATCTTTATAGTTTCTACAATAAGAATTCTATATCAGCTTTCCTTCATTTAATTTATCAGAATATAATATAATGTTATCTTATCAAGGCGTGAGATTTACTTTTCCCAACATTTAAGCCAACGAACGCCCGTTTTGCCTTATTCAACTTAAACAAGCAAATGAAACAAAAGTTCCAAAATCTGATATTGTAATTTTCATGTATAAGACGAACTCTTAATTATGGAGCTAAGGTTTTTTTTAACAAACTCCCAAAATACCATGGAAACGGTAATAAAATTCAAACATGTTAACAAAAACAATAAAAATCATAAGGCCGTATCTTTGCTTTAGATAACAATAAGCTTTTAATGTTTTAAATTAAGTTGCACGAAATAATTTGCCACGTATTAACTCAAAGGACGCAACCATTTGACGCTTATCTTTTCAGAACGTTAAGTGATTTGAAAGATCGAATGTTCAAAGTTTGGAGCCATCAACTAGTAAAAGGTTTGTAAGACTAAAGACAAAGAATTATCGTGTGTGTTTACGATCTGTAAATGAGATCTTAAATAAGAATTGCTCGTCATATTCAATTGATAAACTTTTAATAAATATTGATCACACCCAGGTACTTTCAAATATACATCATAGATAACCGCAGCACTTTGCAATCCTATAATTGAACACCAATCAAACCAAGTTACAAATACAAACTTATTAACTGCTTACCAAGAAAATTACTGCCATTCATCTAAAATAAGGCGTGTTTATCATGATGTGTTTAATTGTAATTTAATTTATGTTTATAAAAAGTCGTTTTTGCCTTTTATCAACGTAGCGTTTTTAAATGTTTATTAATAAACCACTTATACTAAAGATTTCAACAAGCACAATTTAGACGTTCATGATATATAATTGTGCAATGATATTGTGTTATTCAACAGGCAAGAGTATAAAAATAAAACTGACATATCGAGCAGTAGTTTTTTGCCAATCGCTCCCAAAGTACCTTAAAAATGGTATAATGTGATATAATTTACACTTCTCATTTGTATTGATGAATTCGGTCCAAATTAAATTCAAACATGCTAATAAAAACAATAAAAATCATAGGCCGTATCTTTGCTTTTACATAACAATTATCTTTTAATGTTTTAAATTCAGTTGCCCAAAATAATTTGCCACGTATCAACTCAACGGACGAAGCCATTTGACGCTTAACTTATCAGAACGTTAAGAAATCTGAAATATCGAACGTTCAAAGCTTCAACCGTCGACCAGTAAAAGGTTTGTAAGACAAAAGACAAAGAATTATCGTGTGTGTTAACGATGTATAAATGAGATCTTAAATAAAAGTTGTTCGTCAAATATAATTAATACACTTTTAATAAATATTAGTCTCAACTTAGTACTAGAAAATATACATTATAGGTACCCGTAGCAACTTGTGATCCTGTTGTTGTAGACCAATTAAACAAAGTAACAAATGCAAACAATTTGCTTACCAAAAAATCACTGTCGTCTAAAGGAAATCGTGTTTTTCATAATGTGCTTGCTTGCTAAGGAATTTAAATTGCTCACTAGCATGCAATTATATTTATCTTTGGGTCCGGACGGTATATTTATAAAATATGTTTTATTTCATTCGTAAGCGATGGTCAACTCTAACATGATCGAGATGCTTTAAAATGATCCTAACAGTTTCTTTGTGGATTATCAAACCATGATAAATTGTCATTCTTTGGTGCATTTGTCGATAACTAATTGATTTGCCACTTCCACTAAGTTCTTCTCTTATGGTATTTACTTGTGATGATATGAAATGAAATTTATGAATGACATTTACTTTGAAATTGCAAATGGACTCATGCATGCTATCGTTGAATATTTTAAATATTTAGTCGTTTTATTTAAACATTTAGTCGTTTTGTAACGTTGCAATTATCTTTCGTCGAGCTGTTGACGCTAAGGCGATACATGCAAATTCATAGCATTAAATAAAAAAAAACCTGAAAATCTCGATTTCTGATTTGTAAAAACCGAGCTTTTGGACCACATGGTGGTGTACAGCAGAAATTCTAATATAATTCTGCTATGTTTGAGGCTCTTCTATTTAAAATTAGATGATTAACTAATTATAAACTAATTATTCAATTCAATTTCAGCAATGAACATTTTTGTATTCTGGGTGTGGAATCGTTTTGATTGTGATTTTGATAAACTAAACTTTTGTCACCTTACGAGTCAATTCAGATTACCAGAAACAGTTTGTAATTAAATATACCTTAAGATACAACCAAACATCAAACTTGATGCTAACAAATCTTTATAATTTTTACAAGACTACAACAAGAATTCTCTATTACCTTCCCTTCATTTGATTTATCAGAATATAATGAAATGTCACCTTATCCAACAGTGAGATTTACTTTTCCTAACGTTAGAGCAAACAAACACATATTTTTTCTTATTCAACTTAAACAAGCAAAAGCAAGGTCGGATCTAGGATTTTTCAAACATCAGTCAAAACGTCGGAGGCGCTCAGCACCTGGAGGGTCCGAGGCATTCTCCACTTGGAAATTTTGAATTTCAGAGACTTGGAAATGGCATTTTCAGTAACATTACCTAGTGATCATGAAAAATACTTTGCTGTTTTGCCAAATTTCAAGGTTTATCTGCATAGGGACACAATTTTACTTTATAGAAAATGCTTTTCATACATCAATAGCCCTTTGTAATTTATGGCAAACAATCTAGTATGAGCAGTAGATCAACACACCATGACATCTCTACATGAGGTGTTCAGTTAGAAAAGGGGACAATATGTGAAATTGGACAACATTTCATGTATGGGAAATACTCAGGTTATACCATTTCAGTCAAATTGTCAAAACAAAAAGCTTCATAGATCAGAAAAGAGTCAAAATCACAGGTTATAGTAAACAGCTTGTCATGTAATCAATGTTAGTTTTCTCAAATCTAAAACAATGTGTAGTATAACTGTCCAATGATTGAATGATCAATGATCATAAACTGAAAAGCCCCAAACATTTGTTTATGATAAAGTAACTAATAGTATGTCGCTTTATGGCTACAGATATTTTGTCCATTAAAATATATTTGAAGGAATGTAGGATTTCACTGCGATATAACGGCCAAGATTCCCCAAGCACTAAAGAAATCATAACTAAAAGTCCTTCGGCAACAACAATTTTAGAAGCATCGATCTGCTTGCCATACGCCATATTGACATAAATCGCATCACACACTCGCATAAATTGACTTTGATATTTTACATTCATGCATACACTTCACTTGTCCTTTACTTACGATTTTAGATGTAAATTTCTGCTGAGAAAACTCAAAACAAAGTTGGCTTGCTTTTGAACATCAATGACTGAAATGTCGCTCGCGAGATTGTCTTTGTTAAGCATTTACAATTCATCCATAAATTTTTCACCCTCTTGAAAAATTCACAGTTTGGACAGCAGCATTCATGTCAATATATGAATTTTTACTTTCTATCATGCTTTAGAAAATTACTATGAAATGATCATACATTCAATTTAGACAGTGAGCTTGACTATGTTAGTTCAGTTGGCTATTAGTCGAAATCGGTCTATCCAATCACAGTAAGACAAAAGATCAGAACTATTTTTGAACCATTTTATAGAGACAGCGCAGTGTAGTGTTTACTACAAATTGTTTGCAATATAAGTCGTATTTTAATCGTATTTATTTGATTGTATTATAATTTATCTGGATGTATTATTATGGACTAGAAAGTATAAATGTAATAAATGTTTGGCGTCGGCGACTCACTTAAAATTTAAACTTATTCCCAAATATTAAATATACTACCACGTATTTTGGTTATACCACGTAATTGTGCGACAAATTGCACGACTAGATAGCTTAAAGCCTTAATATTCTCCAATATAAATTTAATCGCTTGCTGTGGACGTTTATGTAAACAAGTACAATCGCAATTTGCGCGACCATATCGATGTAGTTCTGTGATGATTCATTGATCGAAATTTTACATGTTAAGTTGTTTGACAAACATAGTGAATCATGATAAACTACTTTTGGGCCCCATTTAATCTGATTATAAGCCAAATTGGGAGATTTCTCTTTTTTAAATAACCTCAATGCGAGCATACTTTTATAGTTAACTTCCAACTCAATTTTTGTTTACTTTTTTAATTTCAAAATCATGGGTGGATCAAGGGGTAGGCAAACTAAGGCACTTGCCAATAGTGAAATTCCTAAGTTGATCTCAGTTAGATTTTATACTATAAAGATAGTAGAACAAAAAACTCGTAAGTTAATTGTTATGTGGTTTGCAGACCAGTTAGTAATTAACTTAGTAATAGCTCTGCTGTTGATAGGCAGAGAGAAGCCAACTTTTGCCTAATTTCGCAAACGATCTAGCTATTTGACAGGTATATATTCATTTCGCCTGACCTAGACAAATTTTGCACAATTGACATCATCTGGAGGCTTACTTATTCAATGAGATTTATAAATTGTGTGTGTTCATTGGCTTACTTTTTGCCTAACTTAAGTGGTAAGCCAAATGAATCAATCATTGGCAGTCACTAAGAATTGTTGTAAGTTTTAGGTACATTTTAGGCAAGTAAGTAAATTGTATATAAAATTTATGCTCAATCTGCATTTGCAAGATATCATTTAGTATGTTTAAACAATCTCTATAACAGCTGTTGTGTATTATTTATACCACCTATGCTGAAGTTTGACCAGTACAGTAATAAGTAAATGTGGAAAAACCACACTCTTTACGACAATAATAAGACTCCCACTGTGTAAATGTGAATATGTGTTATATTTTTGAATATTTATGCTGTTATTTGTATATTAAGTTATAAATATTTGTCTATAGATAGGTCATATATTTGGTGATAAAATTGCAGGCTAGATCATAATTTGATTATGTGATGATAAGCATGTTCAAGTCATGAGGTTCACATTCTACAGAAAGCAGTTAGGCAATAAGTCTGTAATAATTAATATCTCGATTATTAGCATTCTGACTGACTTGAGTACTCTCCTTAAAACTAAACGTGTATTCCTGTATGTAGTTTAGGTAACCATACTTTAGTTCCGAATGTTTGATGTATCAAGTTACTGGCAGCCTTTTTGTTTGTGCAATACTCTTTTTTGATTTTGTCCATATGTTTAATGTTCTAACAAATTTATTCTGTAAAAAGGGGATGTTAAATGTGCATGGATGTTTGTAGATGTAAATTATATTGCACGATTATAGTACTAATATTGTATTTAGCCATCTGATCAACATGTCTTTTCGTTTCCACTGAATACTGCCAACTTCAACTGTGTTAGTAACTGATCTTAATTTTTCAAGTGCAACTCCCTAAATCTACGATGGTTTGTTTGTATTCTTTCTGTAACCTCGAACCATAATCATATCGCCTATCTCAAACTGCCAAGTTATTTTCTCTTTGGGTATCGATCTTTCCATCACTGATTCTGCTATAGAAGGTCTTCACACGTTAAATAATGTTCTCGTTCTTCTTCCGAGAAACACCTCACTTGGTGTAACCTTTTTCTAACTTTGCGCTGTTATACGGTATTGCAACTAGAACAAAGCCAGTTTATGATTTAATGTACAAGATTCACATTCCATTGTTTTTATTATATACTTAAAAGTACAAACAGCGGGCTCCGCTTTATGATTTTAGCTTAAAGTATCCACAATATATAAATGAATTAAATACGAAAAGGGAGTATTTAAAAGAGTATGGAAAAGGTATTGAGAAGGATATAAATTTTTGGAAATGAATTTTACTGTTGTTCAACTAAATAACTAGTTCTATTTGTCAACTATAAGCTAATAGCTAGTGGTGTATGTATTTTTGAAGATTTATGTAGTTTTTTAACACTAAATGAATTTAACAAACTGCACTTGCTTGTCAGTCATCTTCTTCGAAGTTATCGTATGCGCCATAATCATGCATAGGTTTCCAACCCATTTATCTCTTCTACATTGACTAGAAGTTTATGTCTAAATCATTGGGATGTAAAACATTCAGCAAAAAACACATTTTTAAATCTCAAACATGTTTGATTTAAATAATATTAAATATGCGTTATTATTTGAACTATCGTTGTGAAACTACTTCATTTTGTGTCCATTTACTTGACAGGCCGCACACATTTAAGCACTGCGTGCCTATTTTTTATGTATCAACACCATGGTTAAAAATCATTTGTTGATTACATTATGATAAATATTTAGATGTTGATTACATTATGTAAAATATTTTATGCATTTATAGTAAAATCAAATGACGCCTTTGACACTTAACAATGACATTGTATTTCTGAACTGGACTTACACCAATGGCACCTACTATATCTTTCGCTATAAAATAAAAAAAAATAATTTAGACAATAGAAATATTTTCTCAAAACTTTTAACTTTAATACGCTCAAATCATACGTACAAGGTTTTATACACAGCTCACAATAAACAGAACGTTTGATTAACTTCAGGTCAGCTTGCCTCTAATCGTATCAGATATGTTTGAATAAATGAGTAAAATTAAAATTCATTATTTTTTGTTTGCTCTCCTTTTCGTCCAAAATGCACATTTTCTATCGAAATTCATTGTACATTGGGGAAATTGAAGCAACTCTTATGCATTTAATTTTTTTAGTTTAATTCATCCATAAATGTACTGACGTTATGTCTTTCAAAGAATTGCAGTTGAAACTGGGGATAAACAGTGACGAAAAAGAATTTAGAGACGGTGAAAAACCCGATTTTGAAGGTCAATAAGAGTGGTGCATGCTCATTTTTATATAACAAATCATTTACAGCTTTTTACTATCATTCATAAGTCACAAAAATTTTTACAATGTCTTTGACGCTTGACAAGTGATATTTTACTATTTATTGTTGCTTTATTTACCATTTTTTGATTTAACAGATCTTGCATGAAATGGAAGCGTCTTCTGCAAAACTTTATGAAGGAACAAGTGAAGCCAGGGAAGAGCGTCCCATCCCTTATATGGAACGTTATGAAGAAATTGAAGGCTTTGATTTCAATATTGACGGCAAGTAAAACTCATGCCTTGTTACTCACAAATCATAAGTAATTGAATGCAAACCTGGGGTAAACTATTCAACATAAGCAAAATGACGAGTGTTTAAGTGGTATGATTATTGGCTGCTGTTAGCCATTTTATCATTCCTATTGGTCAAATTTTTGTTCTCTTGTGGTGTAACAAACTTGGTGTTACATGTGCTTGTTACTCCATTTTAGATGATCATAGATACACCAAACTTACACCAAAGGAAGCGTTTTCTACATTTTATGAAAGAACAAGTGAAGCCAGGGAAGAGCGTCGCAACCCTAATATTGACGGCAAAAAAAACTCATGCTTTGTTACACACAAATCATAAGTAATTGAATGCAAACTTCGGGTAAACTGTTCAACATAAGCAAAATGACGAGTGTTTAAGTGGTATGACAAAACACAACATATCGATTCATAGGTGAAGGTAAAGTAAAGTATGTTAGTAGAGGGCAGAGGGAGGTATCAGTGAGTGATGTGTACAGAGGAAAACCAAGGAGATACACTGAAAGAGAACAAGTGGAACCTTTATGCTTTGATGTGTTGTTGTCTATTTTTTGAGATGATTTATGGCAAAGTAACAGAAAGAGAAACATGTAATCATTTACTGTTGAAATTTTACGCTTATGTGCGGGGAAGTCATATATTCTACATTTTTATGAGAAATAGATATTGCTATATGACGACTGGTTTTTAAACATTCGAACTAAAAAAAATGCATGATTTGAGAAATAAAGTATTTGTATTTGTTGCTTGTTATAGAAGCAATGTTTCCACACTAGAAAGACATTTTGTTTCATATTATGTACATTTTACGCATAGTTTTCAAATTTGAAAATGAAGTGGAGCAATGAGCAAACATCATAACAGAGGTCAGACAATAATGTCAATAATGAAATTTCGAATTTTAAACTGTTTTTGTACGAAATGTATGCAATTTCATAAGTATGAAACTTTTACCGGAGTTTCTGAGTAGCAGCAAGCTTAAAAAACATTTAAAAAACTATGATTTTTTATAAGCAAACATGTTTCTACATTAACAAAATACCATCTTCAGTACGAAATGATTTTTGTTACGAAATATGATACAGTATAGGAAGATACGATATGAATAAATTTTTTACATTGAATGGGAATGTGATATAATTAAAAGGCGTTTTAATGGTTTTATCTTGAAAGTCGGTAGCTTCCATTGCATCTAGCGATCTGTTGTACATCCTCTAGTTTTGAATCTAACTCCTTTCGAACAACTATACAGTAGGTCCATATCGTGTGCAACTTGCTGCTGTATATTTAATTAGATTATTGGCTGCTGTAAGCCATTTTGTCATTCCTATTGGTCAAAAAAAGCAATTGACTGGCTGCCACTATGGTAATCACATGCGTAATAAGATATGCGTTTAACGAAAAAAAATCAATGGAGTGGCTCTGCTGTATATTCACTACACTGTGGCTGTGACTATGTACACAATGTTCACAGATTCTAGGTACCACGTGACATGCAAAATATTACTCATGTTTTCTAAGCAGGACTTCCTTGTAATTTGCAGCAAGACTGTCTTAAATGTTGTTGACATTTGTCCATAGAAATAAGTAATGAATATTATTCACAGAATGCATGTATGTATGCAAATGAAAAAGACACAAGAAGAGCACGTTTCAAGAATAAGACGTAGACATAGATTAGAGTAAGACCCTGTTTACATGAGACCGGAACGAAGTCAAACCACGGCACAAGCTCGTGTCGGTCATAATATTATTTATAGTAAATGTTTACATGGGAACGTTGCGAAAATAACTCAGAGTGGTCTGATGCCCTACTGCCTGCTGAACTGATCCGACTGAGTTCATAACGGTATGAATTGAAACCGGCATCAATGTAAACTCAAATTAATGTTCAGACCGATCTGGAATGGCATCAACGCTTGCGCACAAAAGCAAATTACAAAAGCAAAATGGCTAGCAAGCGTAAAATTGGCCTGGAAAGGAGGCATTTCGCGAATGAGGATTTTTCGTGATTTCGTGCCGGTCCCATGTAAACATGCAACAAATTCTGATTTTCATTTCGGTTTGACTTCGTTCCGGTCTCATGCACACAGGACCTACGTAGATAGGGTGAAGGCAGTTATCAGTTTTGTACACAGTAGGAAGCGTAGAGAAACACCAAACAATAGGAGATGTATCAATACACTGAAGGAAGACAAGGGAACCTCTACTTGTTTATCATCATGAATGACGAAGTCTTAGCTTTAGTTAGGAAAGTGCTCATTTTAGCAATTTTCTTCCAAACACTATCTATTCATACGGTTTGGTTTAGTGTAAATTAACCATAGGCCAAACGTTTTCATGCAACGGAGAAGAGGAATCATGCTCTAGAATGTAGAGGAATGAGTAATGAGGTTACACGAAGTAGAAGTTCAGATTGATGTAGAGTGTATGTGGATGGAATGAAGAAAAGAGTCCTTTGTGTTAAATGACAAAATAATTTCAACTAATATGAAAAGAAAGGCTTACAAGACAGTACAAATCCAACATTGTTGTACGATTTTGATATAGTGGCAATGGGAATAAGACAGATGACAGAGCATGGAGGTTGGACAAGTAAAGACTCTTTAATCTGTCATTTCATTAAAATTCGAATTACCTTCGATTCCTGTTCATTGTCCAAACTACTTGAGGATTCGTTCACTTTGTTCTTATCACTGAAACTCAGCTTTCTTCTTTCGTGCAATTCACTGTTTTCCCTCAGATTTTCAGGATCAGGGATAAGATGTTTTGTATTTCTTCTTAAAACAGACTGCTCCGTCCTGACTATACATGATCTTGGTTTATCAGTTTTTCCCCCAACCACAGCTGGTGATTTTATATCTTTTACCCAAATCTTTTCATCAGGGCTCAAGTCTGGAAGGAGCTTTCTTCGTCTTTTCTCAATTTTACCATATCAGCAAGCTTTAGAGTTAACATTTTGGATATTACTAGTAGATTATAAAGTAATTTCTTCCCCATTAATTATTCTGCTGGTGAGTACCCGTTCTGCAATGGTGATGCAAGTAAACCTGAATAAGGATCTTCAGATTTTATAATTAAGTTCTTTGCAGTTTTTACAGCTCTTTCTGCTTCTCCATTACTTTGAGGATAGCGAGGATAGGTAAATTCCTATTCTTCAGCAAATTTTGAAAAAACAGCTGCAGCATACTGTGGACCATTATCCGATACAACTGTTTCTGGTATACCATGAGGAGAAAATATAGATTTCATATGATTAATAACATCTTCTGCAGTTGTGCTTTTTTTCAAAGGAGCAATTTCAAAATATCTAGAATAATAATCTACTACAAGCACATAATTTTTTCCGCTATGTTCAAACAAGTCTGTAGCAACTTTCTGCCACGGTCGTTGAGGAAAACACGTTGTTAGTAACGGCTCTGCGTGATTTTCTCTATATTTACAACAAATGGAACAATCAGTAACCATGTTTTCAATGTGCTTACTTAGTCTAGGTTACCAAACAGGTTCTCTTGCTCTTTCACGAAAGTTACGGATGCCTTGATGGCCAGCATGAATCTTTTCTAGAATATCTAAACGTAGCGATGATGGAATTATCAAGCGGGAGTCTTTCATTAACATTCCTTTCTGCATTGTAATTGTTGCTCTTTCAAAGTAATAAGGTAACAAGGTACTAGTAATTCGATTTCGGTCCGGCCAACCTTCGAACAAAATTCAACAAGTTTCGTACAAACCGGATCTTCTTGTTGCTGTCGGCGAATTTCTTCTAGCCTTCTCTCACTAGCTGATATGTTTTGAACAATCTGTGCATCATAAATGTTCAAATCTTGGGATAAATTGTTATCAAATTTTGTAGGTTGTTTCATATTAGGAGCTCGAGACAATGCATCCGCTACAACCAACTCTTTTCCTGGTATGTGACGAATAGTAAACGAATATTTCATCAGCCTCATCTTGAATCTCTGTATTCTTGGAAGTAGTTGGTCTATTATCTTTGAGCCAAGCAGAGGAACCAAGGGTTTATGATCAGTTTCTATCACAAAATCCATTTCTAAAATATAATCATTAAATTTCTCACAAGCACAAGTTGTTGCCAATGCTTCCTTTTCAATCTGAGCATATCGTTCTTCGGTAGTTATCATTGATCTTGATGCATAAGCGACTGGTTTCTTTTCTCCTTTCTTATTTAATTGCCAAAGAACTGCTCCTATACCATACGACGATGCGTCGGCTGCCAAAACAGTTCGCTTCGTTGGGTCATAATAGGCTAAAACTGGTACAGAACTCAATTCAGTTTTCATCTCTTCAAAAGCTTTTTGTTGAGCACCTCCCCACTGAAATTCAATCTTTGTACTCAATAGATCTCTAATAGGTTTTGTTTTTTCAACAAATTTGGAATGAATTTTCCCAATTGATTAACCATTCCCAAAAATCTTCGCACATCACTCACATTTCGTGGCACTTCCATACCTTGTACTGCTTCAATCTTTTCTGAGTCTACTTGAATTCCATCTTCACTCACTATATTACCAGCAAACTTTACCATCTTAGCAAACTCACACTTCTCAGGATTTAGTGTTACTCCAGCATTGTCAAATTTTTTCAGCACAGCTTTCAATCTACTGTCGTGTTCATTCTTTGTCTTTCCATGAACAAGTACGTCGAAATTATGCTTACTTGACCATCTTGTTTCTCCAGCATCTGTTTCATCCTTTTCTGAAAATCCTCAGGTGCAGATTTAATACCGAAAGGCATTCTGTTGAAACAGAATATTCCGAACGGAGTAATAAATGTAGTTAACAAACGAGAGTTTTGTTCTAGTTTCGATCTTCGTAAGTGGATAAATTTCTCGCAAGACCCACTCATTTAACTTTGTGAAATCAACACAGATCCTTATTTTACCATCTGCTTTTGGAACAACAACCATACCAGCGCACTAATCGGTAAAAATATTAACCTTTGAAATAACGCCAAGTTTTTCCATGCGCGTCAATTCATCATGAACTTTCTTTGTCATCGTTAAAGGTATTCTTCTAGGTGTGGATAACGCAAATGGGATAGCACCAGATTTCAATTTGATGTTGTATTCTCCGACTAATTCACCCAGACCTTTAAACAAGTTTGGATAAGTAACCTTTATTTCTTCTTCCATATCATTTGTATCATTTGACTGAATCGGTTCGACTGTCGCTATTAGATTAAGGGCATTGATAGCTGGACGTCCCAACAATGGCTCTTTCAAATTTTTCACAATATAAATGTCTTGCTCTGTTGTTTTTGAAATAGCAGTTCTCAATGTTGCTCGAATTATTCCCGTTACTGACAGCTTTGCTTGATTTGGCCCGAACAATTCTTTATTAGTTGATTGCATCCGTGTTATGCTGTTTGCATAAATACCGGTTCTGGAATCACCGTTACATCAGCGCCCGTATCTATCTTAAATTTCACTGTAGACTTTCCTAATAATAAGTCGATTGCCCATTTTCGCTCATTTTTTACATCGTTAATTGTCCCAAGGAAAAATCTCCTGGGAATCCGTGCTTTTGTCATCAACTGATTGAATTTTTGCTTGAGTTACTTCTGCATCCCACTGCAAAATGCCCTTGTTTATTACACTTTAAACAAGTTTTATTGTTCGCTGGACAATCCTCTCTTTTGTGAATTGTTGATCTTCCACATCAAGAACATTGATGGTTTTCTTGCTCGAATGTTGATCGGGACTCCTATTCTAATTTCATTTTAACTTCGATTTTTGTGTCGTATCATTACTTTTTCGTCGATTTGTTCTTACGCGACCAATCAGCCCATTTTCGCTGTCTCCTTTTAGAATATCGTGATGGTGCTTGACAAACTCCGATGATTTCACCTCCCTAATAGCTTTCTCCAATGTTAATTTATCATCTTGCATTAGCCTTTGTGAATGGTTTGCATTTTGTATACCGACGACAATTCTGTCTCGTATCAACTCGTCTTTCAGTGTTCCAAATTGGCAAGTTTCCGCCAGTTTGTACAAATCTTCCACAAAGTCGATGACTGATTCTTTTTCACCCTGTATTCGTTTATTGAACCGAGCACGCTCGAAAATTGTGTTCGATCGACCAACAAAGTGCGATGCAAATTGTTCTACAACATTTCCGTACACCATATCTCTTTCGCTTATTTCAAAGCTTTTTAATAGATCATTGGTATTGCCTCAAATAGCATATACCAAAGTGTTGATTTGTATTTTATCATCTTTTTCGTCTAAGCCAGCTGCGATTCGATAACATTCGAATCGTTCAATCCATCGCTTCCAATCTTCGGGCTTTTTCGATTCTAATTTTTCTGGCAATGGAATTTGTGATTGAATTGCCATTTCTTATTTATCTCCACGTCTCTTGTCCACTTGTCTTTACCATTTTGACAGAATCCCATCACTGCCACCATGTAGAGTTTTTATTAAGTGCCTCCTCTCATTATATACATTATAAGCGGAAGTAATATTCAACAGGAAGTGACGTCTACACAGAGGGTTGTTTAATAACGCTACTGCTGAAATATTGCTTACAGAATTCAATGGCTGTATCATGTTTTCTTAAATACTGTAGCATGTTCCACTATATAGAGGACCGAAACTATAACTTTTAGTAGAGTGGGGAAGGGGTGTTTAATAACGCTGCTGCTGAAATATCGCTTACAGAACTACAAACATAACGGCTGTATCGTGTTTTCTCAGATGTTGTGGCACGGACCATTGTATAGAGGATTCAAACTAGAACGTTTAGGGGGTGTGGGAGTTTAATAACGCTGCTGATGAAATATCGCTTACAGAACTTAACGGCTGTATCTTGTTTTCTAAGATATTATTGCACAGACAACTGTACTAGAGGAGCTAAACTAGAACATTTAATGGTTTGGAGAGGAGGGTATTTATATCTTCTATTGTAGTCGACTGATTTCTTGTGAAAGCTAACGTAGTCTACATTAAACATAATACAATTATAGTCAAACAAATAGACCAATAAATAGTCAGGCCTATGGATAAATATAAAACTGATATGAAAATTTTATATGAAAGCATGGAAATGATTTGCTCACTTGCTCTCTTTAAGTTTATTTATAAGAGGTCTGCAAAGGAGCGTTTTGTTAAACGAGAAATTTTTTCAAATTAGTAAAACGTGATTGTGTTAGCCAAAGGCAATTGAAATGTTCTGCATCACACATAAAATACAAAAATGTTGTTACAACATTTGAAGCTGGAAGTTCGATCATTTGCTTGCACCGTTCGTGTGCTTATCTTGTCCATTTGTTATTTTATACTTGTTATTTTAAACCTTAGCACTACAACATGATTTCTTTCACATGTTTCTAAGACAGATAGCAATTTAAGAAAAGGACTGAAATATATAAGAATTTAAATCGCTTACTTTTTTTGTTGTTTTAAAAATTTATTGAATTGCATGATTCCTTTTCTACCTGAGTAAAATATTTGTCAAAAAGGATATTTTCTTGACAACGAAAACCCTGACACAATAACACAATAGACACATGACAGACAAATTGTTTCTTGTAAATATATCATCATATGCTTAATAAAATAATTGAAAACTGCAAAAATTATCTTTAATTTACCAAAGGTAAAACAATACCAGCAATGTTGCACGAGAATAAGAAAAACAGGAGGTAGGGCTTGAGTTTGCAGAAATATAGATAAAGAGGTTCACTCTACCAAGGTGAATAAGAGAAACAGTACGTGTCAGATAATTTAGAGTTAAAACTTAAAATGCTTATAAAACGAAAATTTTGCAGCTTGTGTTATACTTTTATTGAACAGAAATTTAATACGACAACGGAATTTCTCTACTAGTTTATGCGTATTTCTTTTTGTTCTCAAGATATTGAAGCATTTATTATGTTCGATTCATCTAACTTGTGACGTCACATTGCATAATGAGAACTAGAATACTTCGGTACATTTGGTAATACTTTACTTCAACTTTGCAGAGTGCCTTTCTTTGTGATGTGTTAATGATATAAAATACTGCCTACTATTATCAACGTAAAGTTGTCACGAAAATGAAGTTTATTTAAAACATGGCAGCGACTCATTTTGCATTCAAAATGATGTCACAAGTTAGAAAAATTGGTAATAGCAAGGACTTCACTTCAGTATTTTTAGAATGAAAGAGTCATGCATAAAAAGTTTTAGAAAGCATTCATTTCAAAATTTCTGGTCTATGTAAATATAATTTAACTAGCAAAGTTTTCCTTTCATTGGCACTTTAATGGTGTTCAAACAAGGTTTGAGAGAATAATTGTTGAGTTTTCGCTGCTGATCGAACTTCAATGTTCATATTTGGCATTAAACATTAGATAGTCTATCTAAACGATGAGTGTCGAGAATGGAAAGAAAAATTAAATGAAGCTTTTTTGTTATCTTCTGTTATAAAAAATTTTTATACTCTAAAAAATATGCTCTCAAATTTAACTTTAATATTTTTAAAAAACGTAAAGTTATTTCCTAAAAAAAATATGAAATTACTGCAGAAAGAAGTTTTTGTGATTAATTGTATGGTATAAGCTAACCTCAAATGTTGCCAGATTTGATTGTACAATTAAAGAACTTATGATTTGTCTAATGGTTGCTGATAAGTTATTTCAAAAATGTGCGGTAGCAAATAATATCCTTTCCTGATTGGGAAAGTTTAAGTTATTTTGACGTATTAATTTCGTTTCTTTCACCATTGAACGTAATGTTTTATCTAGAAGAGTGGAAATACATTGATAAATCAACGAAACATAAAGAATTGTTTTTAAAATTGATTGAATATGGACGCAATTCCAGGGTTGAGGTTAAATTGGTGGGCAATGTACGAGTAATTTTCACAAAAGAATTTTGCATTGGCGAAGGAAGTGGTGCAACGCGTGTTTTTCTTGGATTGGGTAAAGATGGTTACGGTAAAGCAGTGAAACGAATACATCGAGATAGCTACAACGAGCTTGCGCTGCACGAAAAGGAAATTTTAAATGAATTCAATGCAAGAAAGTCGAAATATGTTGTGAATTATTCGTTCCTAGAAGAAGAGACTGAAACGGAATATGTATATTTGGTGTTAGACTTATGTGAAGAATCATTGGAGAGTTTTGTCAAGTCTTCTACTTTGCATGATCTTCAAAAAGCTCTTCCCGAAATTCTCAGACAAACTTTGCAAGGATTAGCTGATCTTCATAGCGACCCAAATCCTATTCTTCATCGTGATTTAAAGCCCACCAATGTTCTTCGAGATTCACAAGGCAAATTTCTGATAGCTGATTTTGGCATTAGTCGAATATTGAATGATTGTACAACACATAATAGCAAGCCTAACATGGGAACGGAATATTGGATTGCTCCTGAATCATATTGTGAAGATAAAGATACAGTCGATAAAGGACGATACAAAAAAGAGTCTGATGTATATGTAAGTGTAGGAATGTCAACATTTACATAATCACGCATAAATTCGATTGTGGTAAGTATTGTTTTGCTAATAGCCGCGTTTTCATTTTGTAGAATGCAGGAATGGTGGCTTATTATTTTGCAACAAAAGGCAAACATCCGTTTGGTGGTAAACGGCTTAGATTGGACAACATGTTGAAGGGAGACCCTGTTGGCTTGGACGAAATCAAGGATGAGACACTGAAAGATCTTCTATCGTGGATGTTAAATCTAAAACCTGAAGATCGGCCATCTGCCATTCAAGCGTTAAAACACCCATTTCTAATGTCGGATGACGATAAGTTTGACTTTTTATGTAAAGTTGGAAACCAACAGCCAATAAAGACGAGCGATAACAAGTCAAGTGTAGTCAAACAATTAAATAGCAAGTATTCAAATTGGAAAAGTTTCATGGACACTGATGTATATGATTATTTAAGAGCAGACGAGGAAAATGGAAAATGTATGAGTATGGGCCTTCATTGACACAATGCCTGAGACTAATTCGAAATATAGGTCAACATTGGTACGATCGACCACGGCCAAGACCTCAACCAGAGCCATTTTATAAAATTGGCAATCACAAGGCATTTTTTCTCAAGACATTCCCCAATCTCCCTGCTTGGGTGCATGCTGCTGTGAGGTCAAATGAAGAATTTAAAAACTATCCAGAACTCAAGAACTTTTTCAATTAAAGCAAACCACATCAATAAACAGTTTCATGATCAACTAGATCACGCAAATCTGCTTTCCATATTTTAATGAATATACAGATCATATTAAATTAGCACAATATTTCATGTTATATACCAGTACCTGTGGCATAGCACAGGAATGGCTTTTCTTATGTGTTTGGGTGGGGGTGGGTGGGTGCTGACCCTTTATAGCCTTTTGCTAGAAGGAGACAAGAGAAGTACCAATTTCTTACAAACTGTTTATTTACTAACCTGACTTGTATGTAATGGAGCATACTCTCACATACCTCAATAATTGGTATGAAAGTGGCAGAGTCAATACTACAAAAAGGACCCAGAAAAATTTGATCCAAAATAGATCACCAACCCCCTCCCTCCCCTTTTAAAATTTGTCAAAAAGTGTAAGTTTCAGGTTTTATATTGCAGGACTATGTTATTTTTGCTTTATCTTGTTCAGTCATTCAAATCTGCAAACTATCCAAAAAAATCAAATTTTTTACCTCGCTCTTTACTGAATGAAATATATGATTCCACAACTAGGTGTTTTTAAGATAAATTGATCTTCTGCCTGTACTTTCTTTCCATTGTACAAATCTCTTTTTAATGATACTGTAGCATCTTGCATTTTTCTTTTCGGTTTAACATCACCTGACTTGAAATTAACCTAAGCCAGAAAGTGTATGATTTGAAAGAAATTGTTTAAGAAAAAACCTGCGTATGCAATGAATAACCTATCCTGTACTCTGGGAATTTCAAGATCCGAGACATGTACACTTTACTTGGGCAGCCAAGTTTTTGGTAGTTTGAACATGTTTACGCCTTCTACGGGATGTGTGGTCATGGTGCTGAATGATAATAGGTTTATTATGTAATAAATGTTCGTAAAAATAAACACTGGTATGAATGATGATATACAACCTCTTTTTCATCTCTTTCCTTTGCCCTTTTAGTTTTTATATCTACATCAACATCATTTGCCTGATGACATTGAGAGTTTATTGTTCTAACACAAATGAATGGAATGCCATCAAAAATGAAATTCCACCTTTCTTGCTTTGGGTCTACTGCAGCCTGGTACATGGATTTTTACATTGTAAAATTTCATCAACTGTCTTGCGTTAAAAACATCAATTAAAAACTTTATATAAAATGTAAATTTATACTTTATATTGTGAGGTTGTTTAAGGTTAGGGGATTAAATAGAGATGACATTAATACTTTATATGGTGATGTAATTTAAAAGATTAATGATATAATTTAGTTGGCGATGGTAAAATTGAATGGTGATATAATTTAGAAGATTGCATAAAGTTCAATGAGAAAACAGTAAGCATATTATAAAGCTAAGAGAATAAGGATTATCTAAGAAAACACTCTTTTTATTTAAAAGTGTCTAGTGAGGTAAGGTCAGAATTAATGCATAGCAGTTTAAAAATGGAAGTTATCACAGCGACAACATCAATTGTTAGAAATTTCTATGCCTTACAAATAAGATAAAATTGCGTAAAATTTCTAACTGGAAATTTAGTTATGGGATCTGACCAGCCTTAGATCATTATTGCACAGGATATATAGGTGCACCTACCCCCAACCCACACTACCCCCTATTCTATGGAATTTTTATTACAAAAAGTAATAGCCCATAAAGTATTATTTTTATTTTGGTTGTTAGGCAATCAATTAGCAAAGTGTCCTTATTCACCCTGTGCAATGTTTGCTTATCCATCATGATAGACACCCTGCTTGTTTACGTTTTGCTTGTAGCTAGGCAGATACGTTCAAGTGCTTTTAGATAACAGTAGCAAGAATGATGAACCTCCTTTGATATTCAACTGCCTGCCATTGCCAGCGAAATGTAATATAATTTGAAGTATTGTGATAGTGATAGGCATTGAAATTATGACTAAACGTCAATTTCTAAAGGTGTTTTTTATAAATGACTTGCCTTGTTTACATTTTGCTGGAAGGCAGATTTGGTTGAGTTGTTTTGGACAACACTGGCAAGAATGGTCAACCTCTCTTGAGATTAATATTCCTGCCAACAAAACGTAAACAAAGCAGGTCATCTATGCACCCTGTCCTGCTTAAATACGTATTTCAAGACGTAAATGATTGTTATCGTGGTTCTTACTAAAGAGCGCATTCGTTTTCACACATCTTCATCCAGTAAATGTTTCTCGTTTATAGGACTCAAAATTTTGTAACAGTTCTTCCCGTGAATAAAACATTTCGGTAGAAGCCATCAATAAAACAGAAACAGAATAGAGTAATATGAATAGCGTAAGTCTTCTTAGTTTGACGCACAAAATTACCGCTGACTGAAATATTAAGCAGTCTTGGATTTGTTCATACGCTGTCTATGATCTAACGCCGACCACCAATGAAATATAGTAATTTAGATGAGGAACCCAGCCAGGTAACTACTATACAGGCCAGTGACTACACGTGACTAACTGCTGCCTGTAATTATCATTGAGTTAAAGGAGTAACGTCGGGCAATATTTCTACTCAAACGTCGGGCAATTTTTAGTGATTTTCGTCTTTTGGTGTCAGAACATTACTGAAATTATTACTTTAATTAAAAAAACTAATTTTAGCAAGGTAATAGCGAGAAATTGTAATAAATTCTCTGTAAACTTTTCCTTGCTATTTATTTTAATAGTACTATCAGATAAAAGCATTTGTAAGTAGATTAAATATGTAAAAGAAATATTTTCCATCTAAACCATATTTGACGTTTAATTTCACGGGTAGGGGGATAGGGCGAGGCAGTAATATGGCTTTAAAATTTACCTGGAAATAAAGGCCATCCGTAATTACGCCTTTCTTGCTTTCACGGTTCAATCGAATTGAATATATATTTGTCGAATAAGTTGACATTTTAACGTCGTATAATGACAGAAAACTTTACAGACAATTATTCAAAGCGGTACATTAAAAAAGGAATGTCTCTTTTGCTTTAAATAAATTCTTTTTTCAAGATCAAACTTTAATTCCATCCCTCAGCCCATCTTCAGTTTACTTTCAAGCACAGGTCTCTTCATAATTTTTGAGTCTGAGGTGATGATGAACATCCAGTAGTAAAAGGTGCCTCTAACATGTTGCATAGAAATGCAAAAAACATTGAAATTGAAAGGATGGAAAAATTTACAAATTGTACGACATATTTACATTTTCCTAACCTTTTTTTTGATAATCAGCTAATACAACTATAACAAATTTGTTCTGATCTCATTTGAATGATGTTTGACAGCTGACAAATGAATTCATAGTCACATGTTGCATCATGTGATAAAATCATTTAATAAGCCCTGGCTCCCGGCATTCCTTTTCCTACGTCACTGCTTATTCCTGCCTATAGCTTTTTCCATTCTTACATGCATTCTTTTTGTCGCTTTTTTGTAAAATTTCCCACCAAATAGAAATTAGCACAAGTCGGTGGCCTTTAAGCTTATTATAAATGCACAATGTAGATTATCTACAAATAGCTTAGTAAGGTACGATATCAGTTGGTAAAAGCTAAAGTACTCAAGCAATATATACACAAATGTGAAGTCTAAAAACAGTTTAGCGATATTTTTGACCTTAATATTATGCAGCAGCCATGCAATCCAGGTTTATAATGTTCTTATATCAATGAATTCAATGTAGGGCAGTTTTCGTTTTCGTCGGGCAAGAATGTGTCAGCACCCCCAATTATTATTATGCCCATAATAGTAAGACTGAAGAGGGCATGTCATCGAACTAACAAATAAATAAAATTTAACCGTTGTCTATACAGTAATAGATACACGGGTATGACGTCATACGTGATAAAAACTAAAAGGTGGCCACAATCCGCCGGGGAGAGCGATCACTCTTTGTTTTTATCACAAATGACGTCTTATCCCTCTATCTATAACTCTAAAGACAACGATTAAATGTTATATATTTGTTTTGTATAATAAAATCAAAAAAATTCCCAAATTAAACGGTCAAACAGTTTGTTTTCTTGTACCCCAACACTTCGAACATTAAAAAGTCTTGATTTTTCACTTATGCTTACGTAATGTATAAGATTGAGAAATGCCATTGGCTAGATTAATCACGTTATAAAATGTAATTGGCTGACAAAATAAACAAGCAATGGCTTATCAATGTCGTTTAATTTTGTTATCGAAGTCGAAGTACAAATGAATGCTTGAAAACCGTGTTTTTTCTTGTTTTGCTCAAATACGTCCACTGTTTCAACTAGGCATTCTTAATTTCTTTGTTTTTCCATTCTCGGATAAATTCAGGTAAATATTCAAATAAGTTCGCCGCTCGTTTATCATTTGAAAACAAAAAATTTCCTGTGACGTCAATTTTGTGTGTCTGTCCTCTTACAGATCACAGCTATCGACCAATGAAATTGCTCAAATTCTTCAGGTTATTTTATAAATTACTATAAATTATTAGCGCGCGTGGTCGGCAAAGTCAGCATGATTTGACCACCACGATTGCAAAATAGAAAATATCAAAACTATTTATCCAAAAAAAATACTTTTTTAAAATTTTGCTTATTAAACCATCTGCACACTTCCGTGGTATGCGAATGCCAAAATAGCGACAGAAAAAGAAAACATTTCATGACTCCGTTAAGAAGCATAGCATTTTTTATCATTTAAAGTGTTCAGTAGTATGACTATTTTGTTTTCAACACAATACTTGAGTAGTGTTTCTACTACTAAGTTAAAATTTAAGTTATGTTTGTCCAGTCTTGTTTGTTCTTTAATTTATCGCTTACCAGACGAGGCAAAGAAGCCAATTCTTATCGAGTTTCACATCAATCTTGCATTATCATCAAGCTATACTCTCTTGATGTAAATTGAGTTTACCTCCGAAATTTGTTCGTATTGTTTTTGGAAAATCTGAAGGAAAAGTTAAAAACCGAACTGTGTTGAAATTGAATGCAGTGTCATGCAAAATTAATGAACATTGTGGTATATGCCTTATAATAAATATAGTTGAATTAAACTGCTTGCCTGCTCAAATTAGTTGACTGTGGACGATCATATTAATGAGATGCAAAGTTGGATTTATGCAAACAGTTTTATTAGTACCACTTTCTGTAAATGAAGTATTTATTGCTATAGTAAACAGAAAATAACGGTCCGGCAAAAAAATTTTCTGTGCCAATCAAATCACGCCATTTATCCGGAAGTCACTATGGTACACAAGTTTTTGCTTTGCATTCTGAAAGTATGATTTAGAATTAATAGAGCGATTGAAACGAGAAATTGCTGGCAAAACAACCTTCGATATTTTCTAAGAAAGCGACGGGTGCAATGAACGGTATTCTTCATTATGTCCGACTAACGCTGAGGATTGCGACTGACGCTCCGATTGACGGACAGGAAAGTAATTTAGCAAATGTCATCAAATTTTCGTAAAGGTCTTGGGTCTAGGACAACAGTATGTCGTAAAATATTTTTAAGTTGTCAGACCTTTTAGGACTTTATCGAAGAATTGTATGAAACAAGTTTTATTTATTTCTATATTTTCCTCCTGGATAATTTTTTCTATCATTTTAAATTATTTTTTGATACTAAAAATATACTGCAATGTATTTATTTAAATAAAAAATATAAATAAAAGAAAAAATATCCGTGGCGTTGTGACTAAAATTTTTTTGACTCTTAGTAACCCCCCAAATTAGAGTCGACCCCGCGTTGATTGTTTTTTGTTTTTGTTCACGCTTTAGGAAATTTTTTGTTTTTTTTCACCGTAAAATTGGAATTTAACTACAGGAGGATTCCCAAGTGCCGTCAAATATTGTTAAATTCCGCCAGCTGCTACAGCCAATCAGATTGCAATAAAAAGAGATTTTGCGTATCGTATAATTTTACTTGCTTGTCATATCTTTTTGTACAGATGGAATCAAGAGAAAAAAGAAATCTGTCTTACATTCGTTCAATATTTATTGTGGTTCAAAAGGAACTTGCTCACTTCTTAATCAAAAAGTGGAACTTTCGTTACAAATCACACCATGGAGAATGGGATGACACATGTAGAAGTGGCAAAAAATTTTTCAATTTAGAAGGTACAAGACGTACAAGGCTTTCTGAAAGAATAGCAATGAATTATCGCGATGGAAACACCAGTAAGTGGGACATTACAATATTGTTTGATGCCATACTTTTTTCAAATTCAATGGGAAAGCATCTTGATAAGAAAAACAAGGAATGCTTTAGATGAACGTCG